TCCCACCTATCCCCTCCTCCCACCCCAAGACCCACCTCCATTTCCTACCCACTAACCTCATCCCACCCCCTTGACCTGTCCGTCCTCCCTGGACTGACCTATCTCCTCCCTAACTCCCCACCTACACTCACCTTTACTGGCTCCATCCCCGTCTCTTTGACCTGTCTGTCTCCTCTCCACCTATCCTCTCCTCTATCCATCTTCTATCTGCCTCTCCCTCTCTCCCTATTTATTTCAGCACCACCTTCCCCTCCCCCATTTCTGAAGAAGGGTCTAGGCCCGAAACGTCAGCCTTCCTGCTCCTCCGATGCTGCTTGGCCTGCTGTGTTCATGCAGCTCTGCACCTTATTCTCTGGTGAAATGGTTTCTCGCAGCAAGCTAAGAAGATGAATACTGTTGGGCCATCCATGTAGAGGGGTGAATCCCAGAAGAGGAGCTCAGCGGCTGAAATAACTCTACAGAGGCCCGTATCCCATCACCAAGTCACCCGTTATTTACATGTGCATTGTACTTGACACTGGTCTGACTTCCTCAGAGCCAGCTCTCAGAGTGAACAGAACCTCTGACACTCCTGTTTATATCTGTCAGCCAGGGCTCCCTGATTGGACCAGGTTAACCAAGGACTGCAGTCCAACTGCCCACCTGAGCACAGTGGTGTACCCCCCAACAAGGGCCCTGGGCCCAATTATGTGACCCTGGTGCACCCTGTCCTGGATTGCCTCATTGGCCCATCTCCATAATGACTGAGCCCTATCACTACTTCATATACTCTGCTTTGCCTGAGCTACGCAATTTTAGTCCCAGCGGCCCGAGCACACACTACACCTCCTATACATTTCCCCAATTACACTGGAATCCTGCCAGTAGTTGCACACAGTTTCCAGGGCAGGAGTACTGTCAATATTCACTTCTTGGTCATACCTTGCTGCCTCTTTTACTCATCGCCACACCCATGCTGTGTTGCCTCCTAGATTTTCAGAACCCTACAGCTGGCACATGCAAGGAGGAGCTGGTATGATCAGGGTGTGGTCTAGTATTGATGCAGTTGTCAACAAAATATGATGGATGGGGTTTGGGGTCATGAGTAGAAAGAAATTTGATGTTGAAAATTACCTATCCCATACACAGAAAAGTAGGAAACCACAGATTGGCATCATTGCCAGAGAATGCATGCAGCCATAGAGGTGATTGGATTATAGGACACACTTGTGGGAATGTTTGGGCATCTCCCCCTCCATGTTTCTGTATTGTTAGCTCTCTCACTCACATAATCAGCACAATAATCTGGTGGCATTTTGTGTAGCTTCATTTTAGCAACTTTTGACATTTCGCTGGCATATCTAACACTTGTTCCTTTTCTGAAGTTTATTATAAATCTCAAGACAAGGAGCAGCAAATACAGAAAGACATAAGGATAGCCACAGGCCTTTTAAGGTACCAGCCCAAAATTAATTCTGTTTCTCCCTAATATGTAATACCATTGCCTAACAAGTATCTGTTTTTCTGAGGGAGAGAATTCCAGATTTCCATTATGCATTTTGTGTGAAGGAATGCTTTCTGACATCATTCCTGAATGGCTATGCTCGAATTTCAATGATCTGTTTTCTTGTTCTGGCCTCTCCCACCTCA